ATGCATGTGTGTGTGTGTGTGTGTGTGTGTGTTCATGTGTGTATATGTGAAATGTGTGAAACTCTATGGCTTATGTCATGTCTTAGGACATGCTTACTGCATGGCTCTATGTGTAAGAGTGTGTGCTTGCGTTTTGAGTCACACTAAGCATGAGCTCACTCTTGGAGTGTGTTCTCTCTCTCTAGCTCAGGAGGGAGTGGCCGTCTGAGCTCTATTCACTATGTTTGGCCAGCCAGATTTATTTGTAAAGGCCAAACCTTTCGATCTGATACAGTCACTTCATACAAATAAAGCGTTACACAATACACTACAGAGAGGCTAATGTGTGTAATTGATTTTAAAGGGGAATTCCGCGGAATTCCACCAGTTTCTGTTGAATTCAGTGGCTGACACACAGTGGCTGACAGTCTTTTAGAAGTGGATTCATATGCACTGTAGAGAAATGTACTAGCTTGGATTTCTTTACACTGGTAGTGACAGGAACTAGTGTTTGTAATGTCTCCAAAACAACAAGTGAACCTACAGTCTTCTGAGATTTTAAATGCAATGTTGATTTTAGTAAAATACTAATAAATCCAGTTTTCTTTAAAAGTACTTTTATATTACAACATTTAAATCTACTCAATTGCTTTTGAAAAATAGGCCTGAACTTTATCTATTTTTGGATGTCTCAGGTATCAGACAGCATATTGATAACAATTATGTGTAATAACTTTATGTAAGGTAACTTTAAAAGGTGTTAAACTTTTCAAATGTCTAGTTGCTGTCATCACTTATGAGAACAGTTCTTAGAAAGTTTCTCTAGAATGGCGCCTTTCACATCAAACCATGCTGAATGTGTTTGTAGGCCTGTACAAAGTTTTGTTAATATAATGCATTGATTTTTGATTAATCCGTGATCGTGTCAGCAGCATACAAAGCACATCAACTTTACAAAGACATGTTAAGAAAATTAAGCAGGTAGAACAAAGTGTAGGTAAAAATAGGTAAGTAGAAATCTTTACATAGAATTAAAATAAATAAATATGATGTAAAGAGAATTTGCAAAATGTTTATGTTGTCGTATTTTATGATATCATATCCTATATTGTGATTATGATCTTGAGCAATATTGACCCTGTGGCAGGTTGCAGTTAGAATGGAGAGAAGCGGTTTTGCTTTGTGATTTTTTTTCTCGCTGTGCTTTTGCAAATGCTCTCCATGTGGAAGGCTTTTTTGTTCCATATGGCGGGAATTCCTGGCCAGCTGTGGTGGATCAGGACGGAAAGCACGGCTCGCTCCCCTGAGGAGGGCGTTCCTCTCCTCATCCTCATCCCTCGTTACTTTCCCTCCTCTGCCACTCTCACTCGTTCTTCTGGGATTCCGACACAGTAAATCAAAACTTCTCGTTCGCTCCAGAGCAGCGTTCAGCACAGAGTTAATTAGTTAGCTGCAGACATTGAGCAAATGCACTCACACACGTACACACACACAAGCTAACAACAGAATAAGAGGACACACCTATACACTGTATGCTGTGTGATGCCTGAATGCAAAAAAATATCTAAGGAGGGCAATGATGTGTTGAAGATACAGTATCGGTTCGTAGCAGTTTTAGTCATAGAGTGTTTTTCTTTTATTAGTACTCGTTTTCACTTCTTAGCATAATCAGAATTATTGGCCTTCTGCCAGATAAGGCTGTTTAGACCTCACTTCATAATACAGCTGTTTGGCTCAAACACATTACAAGGGACAGACGTGCCACAAATTAACTTTAAACAAGATGCACATAGAAATTAGAGCGTTATAATGACCGAAGTTCAACATTTTCCATTTTCAAAAAAAGGCTCTATATTGGGGTATTTAATTAAAATTCAGTAAGGTCCAGTTAGAGAAAAGTTCCCTAAGCAAAGGTCCAGAACATTGTAATGTCCAACTTGCATCATGATTCAGTGCCATATACTGTATACTGAAGTAGCCTAGTAGGTATTTCAACATCTTATACAGTCAACAACTGAGTGTCAAATCAAATAAAGTCCAGTTCAGTAATATTTCAACAACATTTGTTGTCAGTTTTCTCTTTTTAGAGCACGTCATGTTAAATAACGTCCCTCTGACTCACTTTCTTCGACTGCTGTTTCTCACCTCGTCCCTCGCCTGTGTGTGCATCCCTCACTCGGGTCTCAGGGCTCATCGTGATGCACAGATCCGATTGCCGTGTGATATTTACAGTGCATGCGATTGGTCTCCTGGTAAAGCTTTAAGGTAAAGCTACCTTAAAGGCTAGAAAAGTTACGCCGATTAAAATAGGACCACCCGGTCGAAATTGAATAATTCTCCATAGTTTATCAGTTATACTTCCAGGTCCGCATTAGACAGTGTCTGGGTCCAGATTCGGACCGCGGTCCGCCTGTTAGAGACCTCTGCTCTGTATGAAAGATAAATTGGGGGAGTGTTCTTTTTTGCAAGGAAATTCATACAGAGATCAACTTATTTATATTGTGGGGCAGGGGTTAAAGGTCAACTTTGGGGAGGGGCAGAGGAGAAGAATAAGCACAGCTGTATAAACCAACCTCATCCTCTTTCACTTGTTCATTGATTCCATCCCTCTGTGACAGAAGAACAAGTCTGATCTTCTCAGCCACATCTCTGGTCTGTGTGTCGAGTTCATTTCACCGTAGTCTCTCCTGCTGAGTGTGTGTTAGTGTGATTACTGTGTGAAGTAGTTAAGGCTCACTCTTCTCCTGCTGGAGTGTGATTATGACCTGATTGAGGCTAGTAATATATAGGGGAGGGGAACAACTCCACCGTCTCACACATCCATGTCCACACATGCTTTGTCTTTCACTCTTCCTCTTCCACTGTCTTCCTTCCACTTTTACTCTAACTTGGCTGCTTGACATATTTGATCATGTATACAGTACTGTGCAAAAGTCAAAGGCCACATTTCATTTATTAGTATTTATTTTATATATTTTATTTATTATTATATATTTATTTTATTAATTTATCCATTTATTATTCGTTGTCCGTTCAAATTTCCCAACAAGTATATCGCAGGAGAAAGAAAACACATACTTTTCTTTTAGTGTAAGTCAATGGAACCAGACAATTTTTGGTCCATTAATCATTACACACAACAGGCCAACATAGAGACAAGGTTTTGTTCCGACAGTAGTGATAAGTTATTCATTTAGGGAAAAAGCAGAAAACATATAAGAAGCGCTAATAAGACAGAAGTCTCAACAATGAAATATAATTCTTTTCCATATTTATTGTGTTTACTCTTTAGCCTTATTACAGCTTCCATTCTTTCCAAAGGCTGACTTTCAGTTTCTCAAAGAAATCTGCGGGGATAATTTTCTGCACCCCCAAAAGTTCAGTCTTAGAAGTTGGTTGTGGTTTCTGCTTCTCACGTAATCCCAAACACGATCAGTGATGCTGAGATCTGGCCTCTGGGGTGGTCAGTCCATTGTTCTGAGAACACCAGCAGCTTCTCTGTTTGTTTTGCAAGTTTTCTTCCTTTTTTAATCTTTTTTTTTACTTTTCTCAGTAACAACTTCTTGACAGCTACACATGTCAGACTCATAGTGTTAATCTGTCTTATCACAGTGCAAATAAAACACCTGTGGATTTTTTCAGATCTGAAGCAAGAGTGGAGCTTGACTTTCTCCTCTCTCTCAAAGATGAAAGCTTTGAGTTCTGTTTATCTGATCAGGACAGCTTTGGTCGTCCACCAGGTCTCGTATGGTTGTTAGGGGTCACGTTTTCTGTATATCATATAATTTGTGGAACTCCAGTTTTCTTTTCCTTTTCTAATGCAAAAGGATTATTTTATATCTAATCTCATAAGAAATATCACTTATTAGCCATTTTGAATGAAAATGAAATGAATGGTGGTCTTTGATTTTTATACTGTACTCAATCTCTATCAATATCTGAATGATTGTGTAATCAACAATACTTCAGTCTGCTTTCTCTCTCTCACCCCATCTCTCAATCCCTCCACAACTTCTTTCTCTTTCAGTCAAAGCTTACCTGTATAGCGCTTTTTACAACAGGTGTTGCCACAAAGCAGCTTTACAGAAAGATCTAGGTCCACGCCCCCGTGAGCAAACCAATGGCAACAGTGGCAAGGAAAAACTCCCTAAGTGCAGGAGGAAGAAACCTCGAGAGGAACCAAGACTCAAAAGGGGAACCCATCCTCCTCTGGTCAACACCTGATAGCAAACAATAACAGCAGAGAATGAGATTCGATCGTTAGTATAAGATACAGAAAAAGGGGAAAAGCAGGTGAAGCAATGGCTCTGATTAAATAGTTTGAGTCTCTGCAGGAGCATCATCAGGAGGGTCCGTTCATGCAGGTGAGGTTTGCACAGCGTTGTACAGCAGGAAGCTCCATGGTGGTCAGACTGGTCCAAAAGTCAGGCGAGCAGTGGGCACTCAATTGAGGTAGATGGAGCAACAGCATCAGACCACACAGGATGGGCAGTTATTCAGCTCTGCAAAGAGACAGACAGTTAGTTAATACAGACTGATTACAGTATACAGTGTTAACACAGTACAGCAGAGACTCCGGCAGGTTTATCTATTACAGCCTAACTGAAAGAGGGAGCCAGAAGGCAACAGACATGGTGGCTCTCTGAGATGTCAGCGCCGCTCCGCTCCACCCTCAACAGATTTGAGGGAAGCATGAGAGCGCTTTACCCAATTTTTTTGACACTCACCTTTTCACTTCTTCTCTCTTCTCCTGTCACTACCAACCTCAAATCTCTCATATTCTTTCACTTTCACTCCGTCTTCCTGTTCTGACGTGCTTGTTTGATTTATTTGATTATGCGTCTCTAAATGATCTTATAATCTTGTAATCAACAATACCTTAATACCTCTCTCTTTCTCTTTCTTGTTCCCTCTTTTTTCTCTTCTACCCTCTCTCTCCCTACCGAACCCACCTCTCTCTTCTCTTTCTCCTCTCTCTCTTTCTCTCTTTGTCATCCTCCTTTCTCCTCGTGGTGCTGTAGTTGTCTGGTGGCTGTGAGCACACGCTGGTCCTACAGGACTTTGTGGCTGGTTGTGCAGCTGAGCTGAGCGTCCAGTCGGGTCAGACGGTGGAGGTACTGGAGCGTTCTGGCGAACGGTCCGGCTGGTGCCTGGTGCGGACCACAGAGCGCTCTCCGCCTCAGGAGGGGCTGGTGCCGTGCAGCACCCTGTCCGTCTCCCACTCCCGCAGCAGCGTCGACATGGACTGCTTCTTTCCCACCGGCAAAGGTAGGGTCATGTTCAGAGCAGACAGACACGCTGGAGTTCACAGGTCACAGGTACAGCACACACATTTATACACAGTGGACATGCAGAGTGCTAACCCAGTCTTACTGTCACATCTGGAGTCACATGATTCAGATAACAGATCTGATACATTTACATTAAATAAATACATTTCAGTTATCTTGTCGTGACTTGTCGTGCCGCTGTGGCGCACCCGGCCTTAAAATGCAGCCTCCGAAGGACGCAGCTCCTGAAATGGGACACAGCTACTTAATGACAGTAACTGGTAATAGTAACATGACTCTATTTGCTCAATGATTGCTGGACAAAATCTGTTTTTACAAATCATAACAGCGTATGACATCTGGAATTACATATTTAGCACATGGTTATGTCAATGTTGTGTGGCAAGATTGCAAGTAAAGTGTTACCAGATATTTTTTTACTCGTATCTCATTAGCAAACAAGTAGAGAAATTGCTTTGAAAGTTCTTTCTGAACTTTTGATACTACGTTCATATATTTATTTAGAAATTTAATAAAAATCCTTTACATTGTTTAACTAACTGGAAGAATTGGAAGTACAGACTGAGGCTTGTCGATAGAGCTAATGAAATATAACTGTAATTCAGCATGTAACTGTTATATATTATGTGAATGATGACATCATTATAAAATTACATTTAATTAAATATGTAATGAGCATTACTTAAATTCTAAAGGGTTAAAGAAACAAAGCTACAGCATGAGATATGGTCACTGGCACAGCTCACACATTTACACACTACGGGCATACACTCATCTAGAGTTACAGGATTCAAATAGGATAATGGAAAAAATTATATTCAGATAAGGAAATGAAAGGGCAGTGGACACACCCTCTGGAGAGATAATTTGAGTTGTATGACGGCTATGGTGTTGATGCAAATTATTGAGAATGAGCTGTGTTCTGCAAAACAGTTACAAAACTGTCACTGGGGTGGTTCCCTCAAGGGTACATCTCGATACCTTTAGTCAGGGAACATAACTGTACCATAATCCACTGAAATGATATTTTATAGGCTGTATTGACTCCACACACCCCGCCTCGTCTCCAGGCTTCGTTTTGTTGTTCTGCTTTAAAACATTCGGTTATAAATATGTGTATTTCCCCTGGGAAAAGCTTATTTAAGGTACACAGTTGGACCTTAAAACCACTGTTGTACCTGCACAGAACCTTAATTCTAACTGTGTGGAAGTCTAGAGTGATTACTGTGGTTTTGCTATATGTTCTACTTAAATTGCATAATTGTTTGAATTTAATTACTTAATTATATAATCATTAACATTTACATTTGTTGACAGGTTCAACACTTCCACGTTTTTTCCATGCACCTCTGATTTTTCCATGACATAAACTTAGAAGTGATGTTTTTTTATTCACCATACAGGACTGTACGCACAACAGTAACTTTTCATCAGTATAAATTATCATAAAATATATGACACTTTATTTTGAGTGGTCCTTTTTAGATGAAACAAACACTCAACGGACTCTCAGTAACATGTCAAAGATAGACATTGGGGTCAGGGCCTTGGTTAGGATTAGGATTAGGGCCAGGATGAGGGTTAGGTGTTGGGTAAGGTTGAGTAAGTTATGGAAGTAACATATTAACAACACATCAACTTAATGTAAGTAATGTATCAACAAAACATCTGCACAATATTTACTACAGTGTATTCAGATGCTTCACTAATGACACTTCGCTGATATGTTGTTGATGTGTTACTGATAATCTGTTAAGAGTTTATTAATCATCTACAAAGGACCACTCCAAATAGTGTTACCGACGTTATCGATTGGAAGTTTAAAATCCACAATTAGAACGTTTTCAGAGAAGTAATTAAAGAAGATGGAAGGCCAATTTTATATAAGACGGAAACAGAGTCATTCAGAGTGGTTTGATATGAAACGCCTCGTTCTCTGTTCTAAACCTACTGAGTCAGAATTGTTCATAGTGGTGGTCATAGGAAGCAGGCATCTGTCGAGATGAATGCCTCTAAAAGCTGCATCACAGAAAGTTTTTTGCGTAAAATTGTCACGCTGCCCAATGCCTAAAATGTTGTTTTACAATAAATTTGAGAGGTTTTGACCTTAAAGCTTTTTCCCCACATACATTTATGGGAACGAGTACATGCAGGGCATTATGAGGCAAAATAGTTTCCAAAGAAAGATAATTTTTTAACCATTATCATTATTTACGTGTAAAACCTCAGAAGACGTGTAGATTCACTGTTTCTTTGGATAGTAAATAGAATGAGTATGTTTGTTGTTGACCTTGCAACATCTGATTCCTAAGACCACCATTGTAAAGAAATCTGAGTCTGTAAACCTCTCTACATTTCACATCAAACCATTGATGAGTGACATTGCTTCTCAACAAATAAATTGTGTAGAAATTTTAGAAATCAGTTCACCTTTAATTTAACCTTTTCAACTCCTTGAGACCACCAGTGGTTCCAAAAACGCACTTCGTCGTATTCTTCATAACTTTCATATTTCATAAGCTACATTCAAAAGCTGGGTGTCGTATGAGAGCTGTAACTGTCTTCTTTCCAGTCAAATAGATGGGTGATGTAATTTTAAACCCTTATAATAGAAGAAGCTGAACTGATTTTTCCACAAATCTGGGCTATAAACTATAAACAGATGGCGTCTCTTCAGTGATCTGCTCTGTAAAAATTATTTTTATAAAAAAATACAAAGAGCGTCTAAGATTTTTGGCTTTCAGCAATAAATTGTAAGCATATAGCAACATGTGCATGATCATAAAACACATGTTCTGTTCATTTGAGGGGAGCTTTTACAAAAAAATAAATAAAATAAAAATGTACATTTATTTCATACAGTTACTGAATAATTTGCCTTACGATTTGATCATGCAAATTCAGATGGAAAAACCAAAATATACCCTGGTGAATAAGGGGTTCAAATGACAACAGGCTTATTGCCGGTGTGACTTATTAATTTTAAGAAAAAGTACAACACCCGTTCCAGGCAGATGTGTATCTTACTTTGAACTGGAATATCAACATACACAGTGTCCATTAAACTAATTTTAGCCTTAAATTAGGCTTCATTTGTACCATTAGAGCTGAAACAGTATGGAGGGTAGCAGGTCGTCATGAGTGCAGTGCAGTCTGGTTAAAGAATAATTAGGGTGGGATCATTAATTAACAGATGTGGGGAGTCATGGGAGATGGTAATGGCAGTAATGGTGGTGTGTGTTTCCTGCGATGCCTTTGATCCTTATGAAGAGGCTGTTGTGTTGGTTGAGGCTCGATTTGTGTAGCTGCTATATTAGCACTAACCCATGTGAGCTCGTCCCTGTAGGGGTAAAAGCAAAGTCCTCATGTGTCTGTGCAGATGAGTGTATCCGGATGTTCACAGGAGTTCTAGCTGCAGCATTGTAATAGTTGGCATTATATATTAAATTGTATATATTTTCTGAATATGTCACAGTATCAGATGAAATATTAGCATTAATAAAGTTAATAAATCATTAATAAAGTTAGTGGACCTGTACTTTCTCACTGCTGGTAAAGAAATGTCTTACAAACCTGACAGCTTGTTTTTATTGGATTGGATTGATGTTCTGTTTTTTTATCTGTTTCTGTTTACTCTTGCTCTCTGTTACTAGTATGTTTACATAAATACATACATAAATGACATACAGTTAACTATCGGGTACTAGAAACCATAAGTAAATGGCACAAAATAGAATAGAATAGAAAAAATTAAACAGAAACTATGTTATGGGAATTACTATATACTATTTTGTATGGTGCTAATTTTGGATTTGGATGAAATCTACAACGTCTTTTTCCAAAAATTATGGGGCACTGCGCAAAATGTAAATAAAAACAGAATGCAGTGTTGCATCACATCTTCTTTTAAGAACACTCTGTAATGTGCTTGGGCCCAGAGAAGACGGCGGCGTTTCTGGATCCTGTGTATATATGGTTCTTTTCTTGCATGGCAGGGTTTTAACTTTCGTTTGTGGATGCAGCGATCAACTGTGTTCTTTCACTGTGTTCTCTTTTACTACTCAGTCATATTACTGACCTGTTGCCAATTTATCTAATTAGTTGTTTAGTAGTTTTTTTTCACATTATGCAATTTTTTCAGTCTTTTACCAGTCAAAAAATAAAATTTATTAAATATAGGTTATAAATGATTTGCACATCATTGCATTTTGCACAGCATCCGACTTTGGACGGGAGAGACGGGATTGTGTTTTCTTATGATAATGCTACTCCATAACTTTACAAATTAACATCCCTAGTGCCTCATATTTGAAAAGTGGTGATAAAATCTCAGGCAGATATCAAGAAATTAAATGATTACAGTATTTATCATTTAATATGTTTTTGCTGTTCCCAAAAATTTGAAATTATGAATAAAACACCTTAAAATTACTTCTGCTATCTAGCTCATAGTGTTTCTGTCTACACTGAACAAGCTAAAATAGAATAAAATAACAGCAATCATTTATGTGACTTTTGAATGATAGTTTTTTAATGAAAATTTTATGAAATATGTACATCAATCAGATGTGTTCACACTTTTGGCTGGTACTGTATGTCCAAGCCTGTATGCTGACCCCTATCATCTTTTTTGGTACTAAAAGTATAACAGTCACAGGTCTCAGAGCAATTGTGCTTTGGGTGGCTGTGTGTGTGTTGGCATGGAGCCAGCCATGTTTAGGGAGGTGTGTGTGTGTGTGTCTGTGTTTAGAAGTCCAGGCCATGCTCCTGTACTAAACTTGCTCCGGTGTCATCTGCAGCGGAGTGGTCAGTATTGTGCTCTTCTGGTTCCCCCTCGTCTCCCAGATCCTCTCTTCCTCTGTTTGTGAGGGGCAGGGTTGAAACATCCCTTCAGGAGGCCTCGTCTGTTTACACCTGCTATCTGTTTAGGCCTCCAGTCCGATTCAAACCCATGCTAAGAATAATCCAAGGAAATGG